GGGCGGGGCTGGGAGAGCTGGAGTCCAGGCTGTACCCCAAACAGAGAGGTTCAGGTAGGTGCTGGGTAACGGAGCTGCCTGCAAATGGGAGAGTGCCTGGGAGGGGTGGAAATGAGAGAGGGGTGTCGGAGGAGATGGCTGCCTGAGCTCCTCTCCAGCCAACTGACAGAGGCCCTTGTGGGCCCTGACCACCCATAGGTAACTACAGCACAGCAAAACAGCAATTCTAAAAACAAACAGCTACTAAAAAAAAAAATAAAATAAAAAAAAAAAAAGTCCCCAAACCCATTAAACTGATGAACTGTAAGAGGATTTGGGCAAGAGCTGGGGAAGGGAAGCGAGCAGAGGGCTCCTGTGGGTGTCAGCTACAGTGCCATAATGGACATAGCCCTCCCTTGCTGCTTGTGGTCTAGGGGCTCCTGCTTCTTTCAAGACCCATGACAGGCAGCTCCTCTGGTCACAGGACAGGAGGCTCATTCCTCAGTGAGAGAACTCCCTTTCCTCACTGAAGTTTTCCTTCAAGGTTATTTTGCATCTGTCTTTGCTCTGGGTTGGAAAGAAAAAACAAAGAAAAAAGAAAAAACCCCAAACACTACCCTACCTTTGGAGATAAATAGAGCGTTACTCGTTCAAGAGCTGACAGCAACCATTAAGGCTCACCTATGTCTTAAGATATACTTCTCTTTTTCCCCTATGAGCCTCGTTGCCTGTGACATAAGGATCTAGCTATATTTCAAGCAAAACCACTTTGGTCAGGGTAATAGTTACTTATCTTACCGCAAATGATGCCAGCAGCTCAGCCAGTGGTGAAGCGCTGGTTGTCTTTTTGTCAGTTAATGAAAAAGCCAGAATTTGTGCGTGCAGAATCGACTCCACAATCTAGGATTAGTGCAATTTATATTTCCCTCTTGCCTTGCAGGTACCTTTTTTGGGGGGGTGGAGGACAAGGGAAGAAGCAGCCAGGCTTTCCCAAGCTGTCAGGGTGAGCCATCATTTACCTGCATCTGGCAAGGTCAAAAGGAAGCCGGAGAACATACTGATTAGAGAGCAGCTGGACACGAGGTGTTGAAGCAAAGCCCATACACCTGGATGCCATATAACCCTAGAGTAGCTTTATTATTTAATCTATAATTTAATAGTAGACCTATAAAATAATTACATTATACTTAAAGCATTTCTTCTTTTTTTTTCATTTATAAAACAAGAATTAAATACAGTTTTAACCATTACAAGCTCAACTCAGTTTTTACATAAACACAGCTCCTAGAAGGAGGTTCAAGCTGCAGCATATTCATATTGCAAACTGGTGAAAAACCCAGGCAGGGTATAGCTTAAAGATAAAGATTCTTGCACATTTTTCTTAACTGAAGTTACTAGGGTGCTTTTCTCTCTCTAGTCCAAAAAGCCTGACTTTCCGTTCATTTCTTTCACGCGGAGGCTGAGATCCCTGGAGCCTTAGCAGACGACGGCTATTGCCACGTTCCCCTCCCACGCCACCCACACCACGCTCTCAAGCCCAGACGGGACGGTGCCCTCTCGGTGGCCGCCATGACGCTGGCAGTGCAGCAGCGACGGCCTCGAAAGCAGTCCCTGCGCGGGGAGACGCCCCACGCATTTCCGACACGCTGAAAGATCGCAGCAGAAAAGCCACGGCCGCTCACGTAACACGGCTAACAGACCTGACCAACCTCATCCTGCCCGTGCCAATCCCCGTAAACCGCTTGGCCAAAGCCTCTTAGAGCAGCCTGTCTCACATAATAGAGACCTGTGGCACCGAAGCCCTGGCTGGCAAGAGCGCTGAATGCGCATTAACCCCTTGGAGTGGCTGCATGTGAAGAGGCTGGCGGGAAAAGGCTCCCACAGCAAGCTGGTTTCACTAGACACAGATGCTGAGCTGTGAGACATGCATCAGGGAGTCGGCGTGTCATTTCTAATTTGTAAGCTTCAGACAACTGAGCACGCATGGGCTTTGGTTTGGGGGAAGGGGCTGGTTTGTTTTGAGACGTAGGATTTTAATGCAGCTGGGACTAATACAGATCAGAACTGGAACAAACGGGATATACAGGACATGCTAAACTCCATCAACTGAGTAACAACATAGTATGATTTAAAAAGAACTGCAAGCGTTCACCAACACTGATTATGTAGGACTCAAAAACTGAGTAGACCACCAGTGCTGTAGCAATTACCGCTTGCTCTCTCCCTGCTCCCACAGCTGTGACCCATTCCAGCGGCACTGACTGATGGGTTTGTCCTCTAACGCTAACACATTAACATGGTTTCCAATCGTGGGACAAACACCACTCCCAAAACCTGATGACACTGATGCAGCTTTTGTACGCAGTCCAGCAATGACCAAATGCTGCCCTGTGTGCGACAGTGCTTTTATACCTTAAGTGAAACATTGTGCCCTTAAGTGTTCTCAGCTCCTCTCCCACTCCCCTCCCACCTTCCCTGGTCTGAGCAGCCATAAATATAAGGTCATACATGGGTGTTGTCCTTTCTGGACCAAGAAACACACACATATCTAACACACAAAAACCTACTGAAAGCCTAGTTAAACCATGTCCATTTTAAGCCAGGCAGCTGACCTAGCAACCGAGTCTCTTACTCAACACATTTTAATCTCCGGCATATTCCGCCACAAGAAAAATATACATGGCTAGGTCTATAATACTTTAAACAGCTGTTTACTATAGCTAGGTTACAAAATAAACACTGCTGCAGAGACCACGTGTTCGATATACTCTAACCACAACAGCAGCCGAACCCACCCTCAGTCTGCTCTGCGGTCACGGTGGCTGACCCAGCGCCTCGCCCTCTCCCCCTCGCTTCTCATCCGCCATGCAGACAAGAAGCCCGGAACCGTCTATCATTGCACAATTAAAAGTTGTCTCAAGGAGATGAGCCTCGTCGGAAAGTCTCATTTGCTTTTCGCACGTTACTCCTCGTTGCTGTCCCTCATCTGCGTCCCCCAGTCCTGGGCAGCATCCCAGCACTTCCAAGTGGGAGCGGCAAGCTCCGGACCAAAGCACGGGGAAGGCGTTCTCATCTTGTGGAGGGGACTGGAGTGTAGGGCAGAGGGCTTTACTCCACACAGTGGAAACATTTAATGCTGGATTCAGCCAACTGGTCACTTAGATGATCAATCCCAACTTCTGGGAGCCTGCTGCACTCCAGAAGATTCAACCACCAGATGATATTGGAAATACAATGAAACTTTACGGTGAAGTGCATAACACAGCCCATTAAAAAGCCTTATTCCAGTAGGCAAGCGACAAGGAGCCTTTCCTTGCTGGAGAGATGCCTCCTGAAAGAAAACAAAACACAAAAGAAAAAAAAAAAGGGAAAAGAAGAAACAAACCAACAAAATGGACAGTCTGCTCAGCGGGAGGGGAGAGGCAGCAGTAGATCTGATGGGGGCAACACCAAGCAGCAGCTACACGCTTGCTGTCACAGTTTGCCCGAGTTGTTGAGATTCACAGACATGCACCGGCACTGCTTGACCTTCTGAATTTTCTTGAGTCGGAAAGGCGGGTCCAGCTCAGGGCACTCCAGCTGCACGGTCGAAGAGGTGACCTTGTGCGGCTTGCAGAAAGCGCAGGACTGGAAGGACTCCTCCTCCTTCTTCACGTGCCGCGGTATGTAGAAGGAGTTGCACTGCCCGTAGCAGAAGCGGTTGATGACGGTGCGGCTCACGCAGCCCTCCTCGCTGACCGTCTGCCGCAGCGGCTGCGTCTTGCACCAGTCGCTCTTGAGGTACTTCCTCTCGGTGACGACGCTCCCCTGCCTTGGCTGAACATTATGGGAAGGGGGTAGACACCAGCTGGCTCACACGGAGTGTCTTTGTACGGGGAGGGAATGGCGCCCGCCGGACGGTTCTTCCTCGTCTCTGTCACTCGAACCAGCGCTGCCACCAGAAGCACGGACAAGGCGAATTTCCAGATCATCCTGCAACGGCAACGCAAGTAGCTGTTAGGAGATACGCATTTTCAAACCACGAGATTGTAACGGAGTTGAACTTTACACGTGTTTTTAGAAGAAGTGGAGACCTTACCGCCTTTGTAATCCCACCACTTTTCCTAGGAGATTAGCTCTGCTCTAGGGTGATTATTTACCCTGAAGAGGCCAGGCCCTGGGGAAGTCACATCGGTGCCCCTCGCCCCCCCCCAAGCTCTCCATCTACTTGCTTTTCCCCCACAGGGACATCGCTGCTTTGATGCCCGAAGCAGTGATTTCATAGAAGCTTCAGCCAGACAGGGTTCCTCCTCCTCTGTGAAATCCTGGGCCAAACCCCAGACTAGCGAGGGCTCAGGAGACTTCTGCCAATACTGCGACAGTGGATTTGGGGATGGCAGGAGAGAAGGGAAGGGAATACCAGGTTACACAAGGTGAACTCCCATCTGCCTCTCCAGCCTCCTTCCATACAGAAGTAGTGAGAGGTGTCCAAAAGTGTACTTTTGTTATTTTAAATTGCTTCTGAAGTCTCTTGGAGCTTTTATGGCACTTACAGACTTGCATTTGTTGTCTTTGTGGGAAGCCGAAAACTTGATGGATTTATTCCTGCAGTAAGAGGAAATGCTTAAACACAACTCTGAGGACTTCAGTACTGCAACGCCTCTTAGGCAAATGGTTTGAGAAGGTTTGTAAACAGGAGGGAATTCAGTATTTACTTTAGATGTTAAGGACTAGGGTAGAGCATAAGCCACTTGTTAAGTTAAAATAGTCAGCCAGTTGGCAAAAAGATTTTTTCCTATGGTTGTCTATTAGGATTTCTTGTTCTGTGGAGCATCTCCTACCAGCTCTTGGATTTTCATCAACCACTTGTCCAATTCATTTTAGTAATGTGTCTCGATGCGCTTCCAGGACATCAGAGTAGACGTACAAAATTTCCTCATAAAGTCAATGCTCACCAGTGAACTGCCACAACTCATCTGACAGTTCGTTTCACATCCTTCTCCCTGGGAAGGGAGAACAGAGGCTCTCTGGGGTGCCAGAAGTGAGTGTAGCCCAGAAGCTTCCTGTTCGGAGGCAAGGACACTTCAAGTCTTTCTAAAAGTGCTCTGCTCGCCTCTGTTCTTAATGGACTGTATTTTTACAACAGCGTATGGATGAAAGACGCATCCCTCTCTTTCCAGTAAAGCTTCAAATCCTTCCAAGTAATGATTTTTTTTTCCTTTAGAGTGATGCCAAGACAAAAAAGTACCATCACAGCGGTAAATACACATATGTCTAACACTACAGACACTTGAGATGTTGCATAGGTACTGCTAACAAGAAAACATGCCATTTTCTAAACAAAGACACCAACAGATCAAGAATATGTTTGTGGCAAATGTGCAAGAGAAGACACAGCAGTAACAAATACTTCTCACCTAACAAAGCAGACCTAATGTGTTCAACTGCAATGGAGATAAAGAGAAGGAACTACCCAGGGCAGACTAGGTGGGATAACATCCCTTTAGGCGATTTGCTAAGTTTACGAGATCTCAGTGTCAGATTTTGACTAAATTTCTAAGGGAAGAAGTTTGAAGTGCTGAAGGAAAGGAAAATGATAACCCTATTAGTAATCCTATTGTGGAGGCTCCATCCCTGGAAACATTCACGGCCAAGCTGGACGGGGCTCTGAGCAACCTGGTCTAGTTGAAGATGTCTCTGTTCACTGCATTTTGCACCCCAAAGCATTCTACGATTCTATGACTCTATTCTATAGCTGTGAATGGAGCATGTTCGGACGCAGAGTTAAATTTCACCAGATTGCGTGCTTGAAACAGAACCACCTCTAAACTGAAACCAGTATTTTTAAAACCCAAATAAGCTCATTCATCTGAAACCATGCCAGCTGCCCAGTGACACCCATTGTAGCCATGGGTACTTTAAATCAGTGGCCTATTTTCACACTGCTTAGCATTCAGCACACAAGTCCAGAAGTTTTGTCCAGAGTCTTTAAATGAAGCAAGACTAGACTTGGCTTTGCTCGCAGGTGTAGTCGCCAAAACCATTGGATGTCAACCCACACGGCCAGGCCAAAACCTAATCAGGTAATTAGTTTCAGTTGAATACAGTGTTCCACGCTTCCTTTCAAACTGTTCTCATGTTATTCTTCACTGATGGCTGCATTTCAGTAGTAGATAAAAGAACTGATCCCCACTGCTTTGTGTTTTATATAGCAAAGGGGGGGAAAAAAACCAGGAGTTACAAGCCTGTATCTTCTAGAGAAAGGCAGAGGTGAGCTCTCCACAAGATGCCTTATGCCAACACTCTTCAGGACTACTCTTCTGCTCTTCTCTTGGAAAGCAAGCCCACAAAGCAAATGTCATCACTCCACTGTCCTTCAGGGAGGGAGTTTGGTCCTTTTCAGCAAGGAGATCACCTCTCCAGTCTCATTTCTCTGATCCTGGTGGGGAAGAGGATGGTACAGGTCCAGAGGCACATCAGAAGGAGAGACGCGATCTTTCCCCTGCTCCTTCCTCTTTCCTTTGGGAAACCCTGACTTACCACAGCTGCCCTTTCTCATCACAAAATGCAAGCTGAAACCATTTCCCTTTCGTGTCAAGGATGGGATCAAGTAGAAATCCTACGTAGGAATTCAGGAAAGCTGACAGAGAACCAACAACTCATAGTCTACAATATAGAGAAATATTATAGTAGCTTTCTAATTACTGAAATAGTTCTATGTAGGCATGGAGGGCCATTCAACAGAGTAAGCAGGATTTATTCAGTAAGTCTATGTTTATAACTAATAAAGCATTATTAATCAAAGCCACTATTGTAAGGTGCAGCAACCGAACACTGCGGTACATGTTAGCAAGTACTTCCACAGACAGGTAGGAACGCACCACCTATTTCTGTCACTGATCCTTATCAAGCCTGGACCTTAAAATGTTTACATAATAGAATAATAATCTATTTTACACTAGCAGGTCAAATGTGCATCCTGTCAGATCATGGAATTTCTAATCACAGGGTTGCCCCTTACTAGCCTGCAAATCACCCCTTTCTAAGCCCTGGCACACAAAACCCCTATTCAAGCGAGAAAGGGTGCAAACAAGGTCACCTGGTGCCAGCAACATGCCAAGGACTACATATATTTTCGGTATTCACATGCAAAGAGAAGAGAAGAGAAACCTCAGTATTCTCAGAGGTCGCTTTGGTAAACAGCCTGAATGCGAAGCAACATGGTGAATGCTGTCTGTCTGCAGACAGAGCGGGATGAGAAGAAACACAGAAAATACAGGAGAAGAATCTGTCTTCTGGCAAGAACAGGGCAGTTCTGCCCTACTTCGGTGTTGCAGAACTGAACAGCATGGCTGAAAGCAAGCGAGCACTGCCCCAGGAGCCCAATGTCTGCAGAACCCGCACGAACGCCAGCCCGGGGCAGGACGTCACTGCACTGGGGGCTTCCCCTGGCAGAGCCGGTGGAACCTCCCCTGGGACAGTTTTTGGCTTCTTCAACTGTCATTGCCAGCTGCTGCCAGTTCCCTCCACCCCTTTTTTCCAGTGTGTGAGCTGGTGCAGAAAACAACCCTAGACTGGACACCAAACAAGGCCTAGCTGCATTTACATTGCACATGTTAAGCTTTTATCTCTTTGAGATAAGAAAATCAGCATCAATTATGAGTTCATAAACTCATCAAGCCCGTCATGCTGGAGGTGGGCTATTAGGTACCCAGGAGTGTAAAAATTCCTTGGCCAAGGAGGCAAAAACGCCAAGATCCAGCTCTGTAATCCAGAGAGGTCAGGGCACTCAGCTAGGAGGGGAAGACCCAGGATCACTGTGTCTGCCCTTAGCTTTATTTCTTCCTTGTATCCAATTACTGTGTAACATAAAATATCTACCAAGGCAGGCTCCCTCCTGCATACCAACCTTCTGGCCCTACAACTCACACATTCTTGAAAGCAATCCAGCTCTGGGGCAGGACAGGCAGCAGCGTAAACCCCAAAATAGCCTATAGTTTTGTGGTTAGGGGACTTCTCTGGGAACTGGAGTACTGGATTTGACCTCAGAATTCAAGTGCATCATTTTTGGAGAAGTCTCCCAATGCAGAAGTGGGTGTTGTGGCCTGATAAACAGGGCAGGAGGTAACAGCAGCGCCCATCTGTGCTGAGCAGCTGCTCCACCGTTTGCTCTGGTTTTCAAAGGCGCGACCAGCTTCTCAGCTCAGGATCCAGCTTCAGGCCAGGAATTCCTGTTTTGTACATCAGCCTGCTTCAGGGCTGCAGGTGGACAGTAAGAGAGAGGCAAGTAGCTGGAAGATCCCTGTGATATTTTGCGTTAGATGCTCAGGAAATCAGCAGGTGTGTTTGTTGGTTTGTTTGTTTTAGCATGCAACATCTACAAAGCACTCGGCATTATCAGCATTCCTACAAGCATCCAACTCTGATACGGGTGTGACACACAATCTTCTACAGGTCCACCAGACCTTCCTGGGAGGAGTTCAGAAAAAAAGCCATAGCCAATTGTTTAAAAAAAAAATCTGCAAAACTTGTCTTAACCTGGAGCTTGAGAGCCTACCTGTTTAGCCTAGTCACAGGATGGATTCAGCCTGTAAATACACGTGGAAGAAGATTTGGTACTGTAAACCTGTCCTACACCCATGAAAAGCACCATAAGAACCAACGACTGGGAAGATGATAAACAATTTCAGAGATACTTTACTTTTTGAAAATTTTGAATTTAACTAGCAGCTGACGAGTTTGCCTTGGAAAATAGTTTCTCCTCAACTACCAGCAAAGGCAGGCACTATAGGCTAGATTAAATCAGTTCTGTGGCACTGTACATACACAGTCACATTTGCCCACCTGCATCACTCTTTTCCAGTTTCCATCCTGCAAACTTCAGAGACATGACAGCTCTCCTGAGATCAGCAATTCAGCTGACTGTGGGAATCCCTGTTACCAAAACATTTTCTACTGCCCACTTACTTTCATATTAGACCTAGTAAAAAAA